TGAGTTGGCCTCGGGTCATCTTTTGATTATTTGCATTTTGGTCCCTGAACTTTCGTTTTCCTCATTTTTAGCCCATTTTCTCCATTTTTCCTCAAGTTTCCACCACAATCTTCATTATTGTCCTAGAAACACAAATTAAGCTTTATTCCAAACATTTATCAACAATTATTCGTTCTTGTGAACCGAAATAAACATATAAAAATGCCCTTATCACTGCTCATAATCTATAGGCAAGTATTTCTCCTTCAATTTCAACTTCAATTTCGTTTCCTCCCAATCAGCAATTGGAGGTTGTCTCGTCCGCTGAAGTTTCTCCTCAACACTTCCCCACTATGCTCGAGCAGACCCCTTTAATTTCATCTTAGCGTATCTGACCTTCCTCTCATCTGATACAGAAAACCAGTCGATGTAATCTTCCAATGCTGTCATCCAATCTTGAAAGGAATGAGGTTTAAGCTTACCATGGAAATTAGCAATATCAACCTTTATTCTTTTAGTCAACTTATCAAGGGGTTGTTTGTGATATCCTGCAACAGGTTTGTTATGGGGCCGATGAAAATGTTCTCTGTTATGTTCGTGCAGAACACTGTGATATCCAACGCCTTTGTCACCTGTGTTTCCCACCTCATCTTCGCCTTCACTTCCTCCTGAAACTTCTCCACGGAGTAGGACATGCCCCACTATCATGAACTCTTGACTCTTCACGAGCCCGTCGTTCTTCCATCATGTCTAGTCGGCGTGTGAGCTGCTCTAGTAATCTGCGCAACCTGCTGCTGGAAATTGATTGTTTCTTCGATTGAGTTAGATGTGTTTGTAGTCATAGTGTAGGAATTGCCATTTCGAGTTATTGTCATGGAGTGATGAAAAATCCCTCGCAAAGAAACTTTGGGACATTTAGGCTCTGATACCAAAAATGATGACTAGGTAACAGCAAATTAGTTAAAGAAATGAACAATCTCCTGACTAGCTTCACGTTGGAAATCAAGAGGACAATTTCACAGAATCTCTCTGTTAAATGGACTCTCTCCAAATGAGGAATATATCAAATAATGCAACTTCCCTTTTTATTCATCACAACATGGCTATATATAGCCATACAAGCATTCAACGTTTGTTAAAATCAAAGCTAAAGACTAAAAGATAAAATAACAATACTCAAAGTAATGCCTAGGACTTGGTCTTCTCCTGACTTGGTCTCTCCTTTAATTCACATCAGGCTGTTTTGATTTGATTGAAACTCATGTACTAACATCATGTGGGTGTGAGGAACGACGCCTTTTATCGAACTGATACCTATCATAGGTTTCCTTGTGCCCTTTCATTTTCTTACGGTTCTCAATGGTCTTGTCTCTACGGATCTCCTCCTAAGTTATATCCACCAATTGGGCTCATTCAGCTCTTGATGGATTTCTTATCACCAGACTTTCAACCTCGTAGACTAGGCTCCTCATTCTCTTGATGTTGTTCATTTTGCTAACAATAGTGACTGTTGAGGTTACGAGGTAGTACTTTGTAGATCATCGACGTAAGCCAACCCATTGAAGATGGTGAAGAAGCCATCAAGTCTCTTTTCTTGGCCCTAACAAGACTGGTCATACGATCGCCTAGCATGGCTGGTGTGAGGGCTCTTTCGAATTGGATGGGATGAAACGTCCTGAGATCGATGACTATTTACATTGTAAGTGTTATGCCCTAAGTCCAATCAACTTTGGACATAAACACTTTAAATATATATAATTGATGCATGTATGGCAATATCTATTATTTAATTGAATTAATATTCTAATAAATTAAATAATAGAATCCGTA